TCAAATCAGCTTAAACCAAACTATGTGGTACAAAAATGGGGTTCATCTGGGGTATGAACCCACAACCTCTCTCACCACAAGCAACAATCTTCCCCCTAAATCTATCATACACCACTACAGATGGTTCCTTCAGGGATTAAACTATATTGGTAACAAATGGGGTTTGTTTGGGATGTGAACCTACAACCATTTACACCTCAAGCAACAACCATAGCCCTAAACCAATCATACCCCATTACAGATGGTTTCAGCTGAGATTAAACCAAAACTTGTAACAAATGGGGGTATGTCCGGAATATGAACCCACAACCGGTTGCACCACAAGCCACAATCATTCCTCTAAACTAATCATACCCCAATACAGATGTTTGTTTTTTTCTGACAATAAACCAAACTAGTACAAATAGTATTCATCTAGGACAGGGGTGTCCAAACTCAGTCCTGGAGGGCTGGTGTTCTGGAGAGTTTAGCTCTAACTTGCTTCAACACACCTGCCAGGAAGTTTCTAGTATATCTAGTAAGAGCTTGATTAGCTGGTTAAGGTGTGGTTGATTAGGGTTGGAGCTAAACTCTCTAGGATATTGTCCCTCCAGGACTGAGTTTGGACACCCAAAGGATATGAACCTACAACCTATCATAACACAAGCACAAATCATGTCCCTAAACCTATAATACCCCAAAGCTGATGGTTTCAATTTAGCTTAAACCAAACAAATGGGGTTTATTTGGGATATGAACCGACAACTCGTTACATCAGAAGCAACAATCATGCCCCTAAACCAATCCAACACCACTACAAATGGTTGCTTCAGGGATTAAGCCATATGTATAACATATGTAACATATAATGTATATAATATAACACATGTATAACATATATAACATAGGTAACAAATTGTTTTTTTTTCCGGGATTTGAACCCACAACTATTCACATCATGAGCAACAACCATACTTCTAAACCTATCACACCCCATTTCAAATGGTTTCCACTAAGATTAAGCCAAAATTGGTGACAAATGGGATTCATCCGAGATATGAACCCACAACCTGCTTCACCACAAGCAATAATCATACCCCTAAAACAATTATATCTAATAATACATATGTTTTTTTCTGAAAATTAACCAAAATTGGTATCAGTTGGGGTCCATCCAGTAAACTCACATGTTTTCCCAGCCAAAGCAAAAATTGGACCCCGTAGACTAAGGCTACACGATACTGGCTAAAATGAGAATCAAGGGTTTTTTTTGCCTAAATTCAAGATCATGATTTTCCCACGATTCTATAAAGTAGAATGAAGGTTAATAAGAGTAGGCTATTATTATTGTTATTCTCAAACATATGGTAAAACAACAAAAATAATATTAAGCCTATGTGTAGCTCTACTGTTGGTTAAAATGCTAAATTTTGTATAGACTTGGAAGGTGGGCCTAGACTTTAAATATGTCCTGTTTGATAATTCACAGTGAAGTGATGACAACAGAATAAACTATTCATTATTCAAAAGTTTGATTTTTATGTTTGACACATATGCTTATAATTTGTCATTGAGAACATTATTAGATAATCTTTTCACTGGTAAAACGAGACATTTGTCATTTTTAGATTCCCTCTTGCATTATATTCACCATTATATAGGCTAGAGTAGTTATACTGACACTGTTAAATATTTATATTCATGCACAACACTTTGTGTTTGCTATGAAAGAAAAAAACATTAAATGCTTGCCGTAATCATCACTGTAAAATGCGAAAAGATCATTTAATTGATGTGAGAGCAGGTTTCACTTTCAGTTCCGAGAGCGGCTCATTGCTGCCGTCACTGTCAGAAAAAACACACACACACACACACATGCAAATGCAAATCATACTTCCCGCGCGGCTCTCAAATGATCGATCTGTGCAATAAAATTAACATTATTCACAACTTTATTACCTGTTATTCATAGCCTATGCAGGTTCTGTTTACTAAAGTAGGTATCATTGTAGTAAACAAGCAGTGCGCACAAGCAGTGCGTCAGCTCACGTGTGATTTCACGGCCATGCATACACCATTACATTAAGAAAGAAATGACATTTTTGGATGATTATACCTTATAAATACAGTATGTGACATTTTTAATGCCATTTGGTGGTGTCCATGTTGCTGTGAAGACTTGTGCGCTCGCATTTACACTTCTCTCCTGACCTTGTAAATATAATTGGCTGAATCGTAGAAAAGCTGAATAAAGATTATGTGTAGGGTCGAATCGAGATTGCGATCTTGTTCCGATTAACCGTGCAGCCCTACCATAGACCAATAATATTGCAATACAGTTTTTCCCTTTAGAATAAACAACATTGGAAATGAGTCAGGGCACGTTTGGATATGAACCCACAACCTCTCACACCCAAAGCAAAAATAATACCCTAAGCCTGGACCAATCATATTGCATCACAGTTTAATGCCCTTAGAATAAACAACATTTGAAATGAGTCAGGGCTTGTTTGGGATATGAACCCACAACCTCTCGCAGCCAAAGCAAAAAATAATACCCTAGACCAATAATATTGCATCACAGTTTAATGTCCCTAGAATAAACCACATAGGAAATAAGTCAGGGCTCGTTTGAGATATGAACCCACAACCACTTACACCCAAAGCAAAAGTAATATCCTAGACCAATCGTATTGCATTACGGTTTTCCCCCCTTAGAATAAATAACATGTGAAATAAGTCAGGGCTTTCCTAGAGATGGGTTCCAGCTGGAAGGGCATCCGCTGCATAAAACATATGCTGGATAAGTTGGTGGTTAATTCCGCTGTGGTGACCCCAGATTAAAGGCTGATTTATACTTCTGCGTCAAACACCGGCGTATGCTACGGCGCTGACGCATAGCCCTTCGCCTGACGTGCACCTCTCAAAAAATGTAACTACACGTCGCAACAACGCGTAGCGCAAGCTCTGTGATTGGTCGGCTTGGTAGCGCTGACGAGTCTGGGCGGGACCGGGAGCCGGACGAATGGCGCGAGCGATTGTTTACAAGTGTGGAGTCCCGTGAAGGAGCTCCGGAAAGTTTTGTTCTGTGTTTACCTCATATTTAAAGTTGTTGCACGTCCGCCGGTTCCTGCCTCAAAATGAGCGAGTTTGAGCGACTTGTACAACCAGGAAGTGTTCAGGAAAACCAAAACAGAAGCGAAGAAACTCGACACAGAGGAACATTTACACCTCACTGCCAACTAGCATTTCGGAAGTGTTAATGCAGACCAACAGAGACAGCGCGCAGAAGTATAAATGCACAGCTGCGTGCGTTGCCTGCGCCGTGAGTTACGCCGGTCACTTGACGTAGAAGTATAAACCAGGCATAAGTTGGTGGTTAATTCCGCTGTGGCGACCCCAGATAAAGGGACTAAGTCGAAAATACAATGAATGAATGAATGAATAAGTCTGGGCTTGTTTGGCATATGAACCCACAACCTTTTTCACTTAAAGCAAAAATAATACCCAGACCAATCACTCGGCATTACAGTTTCTTTCTTCTTAGATTAAACCAAACAAGTCAAGGCAGAATCTGAACCCATGTCAGAATTTTACCCCATAGGATTGTTTTCTCTTTTATATAGAAGAAATCTAATTCATAAAACATTATTCAATGGGAAAATCTGCAACTTAGTATGCCGCTTATAGGCTTTAGATCAGACCAAGAAGTGATTTCTAGATTTATGTACATGTCCTGAAGGAATAAACTAAAACAATCTGACTTTGGTTTTGTTTCCAAGTCTCTATCAGTTGATGCATTATTCAGAATACAAACTCACAACCCAACTAAAATGCTAAACAGACTGAGCAGCGGTGCAGGAAAGCATCATATATTTATGCACAGTGACATTCATTTCGGTCCGCGTCGTTCTGTCTCGCTCTCATTCCTAAAAGTTTGAAAGTTAAACGGAGAGCATGATTGGTGCAGTTTCACAGCTGGCAACGGTCACCCTGACAACCGTATCCCAGAATAAACCCATGACTGCGGAGAGAGAGGGAGGACGACAGGCCGGCCCTCAGGAGATGCAGCCCGAGGATGATTATTAGCACAGCGTGAAGGGAAACTAATGCTGTTATATTCTCCGACCTGACCAATTTACATAAGGGATGAAACAAGAGGATGAAAAATGACATTTCGCTTCACGAGCAGCGGATTACTGAAATCACAAGCAAATCCTCATCGCCAATATCAAAAGAGGGATTTCTGTGGAATCAGGGTTGACCTACTAAGTACATGCACAGCTATTCATAACTACTGCAGTGGCATTTGATGAAGACTGATAAAGTCTGGCAAAGTCAAAACTATGTCACAAATGCCCAGAATTTTGGTGGCGATGTGTGGTATGTGAAAGTGAAGTTCTTGTTATATTCCCAGCAAAGGCAGGGCGATGCATGGAATATTTTCACTTTCATTTTGGTCTTTAATTAAAGATGAAACTATTTTCACAATGCTTTCCTATCAGGAGCATGACTTCTTTTAAAAGATTTTTTTTTTAATCAGTAAGGACGTTTTAGATTAGTCAAACTGAAAATGTCTTTACTAAAAACTAAGCATCATGTTACCACTAAATTATTCAGCAGCACAGCTTAACAATAGTTATGTTTCCATCCAAAAATGTGAATTATCTTTATGCGCAAAACTGGATTATCTCATGAAAGACGTGTGAATAAAGCAGCATTTCCATCCAACGAGTCAAAGAGAACAAAATAGTCACTTTCTGATTAACTGGCGACAAATATCAACAGTAAAAACGGAATTTGCTGCAATAAGTGAAACTGCATGAATCTTTTCTTCATTTAATAAATGACTTCAGGGTGGTGTTTGAAGGCGTGATACGTGTAATAAGTGCAGCTTTAGTGCGCACAACTGACATTTAAATAGTAGTGCGGGTAACTATGTTAAACTAATATAAACAATGTGTTAAAAGTGAATTGAATATAAAAACAAGACACAATCGACCCACTTATACTTGACGTACCAAGCTTAGGGAACACAATGAGGTACTCGGCATTGCATTGTGGGCAGGCGACCCGTGCGGTGCTGTTTCCCCTCTGTTTCTCATCCACCCAGCGCTGAAGACACGACTGATGAACCCATTTAGTAGATCCACGGCAGCGGCACGGACGCACCCACTCAGCTGTACGGTCATCCTCATCTGTGGCAAAACAAACCCAACAACTCCTACAAAACAAACAGAAGGGCAGAAAAATTGGCGCTTGGCTTTGCGTTCAGCTCAGGGCAAACAAAGTGTAAACACATAAAGTTGAGGAGAAAGTAATTGTGTAAAGTTCAAAGCAGAAGACTGATTTATTTTTACAGACCAACTCTTCAAAGTATCAAGGGAAAGTTAACCAAAAAAAAGAAAAAGCATGAGAGGACTGTGGAGTAATGTAGGTCAGTGACTAAGCACAAATGAAATGAGATCATGAACTCACTTCAAGGAAGTAAAAAATAAATGTATGATTTAAACAGCAGCGTCATTTTATTTCATCATTCTTATCATTCAAACCAACAAGTTCCGGATTAACTAGTTTTATTAGATCCAATTAAAGGGATGGTTCAGCCAAAAGTTTAATTAAGGGATTGTTTGCTCATCCTGCTGTTCCAATATAGAGAATCCTGCATGTGCTAGTTCATATAATGGTCATGAATAGTGAATAGTGCCAATTTAAACATTAAAATGGCAAATAAAAATATATGTCAAACATGTACAAATATGCAAGCAGCATCTCCGGGTTCATTGAGAATCTGACCAAAAAAGTTATGCAATGTAATGTCAATTTATATAGTGCATTCATCTTGTATGGCCATACACCCAAAGTGCTTCACAATCATGAGGGGGGTCTCTCCACACCACAACCAGTGTGCAGCATCTACTTGGATGATGTGATGGCAGCCACAGGACAACTGCGCCAATGCGCTCACCACACTCCAGCTATAGAGGGAGTGGAGAGACTGATAGAGCTAAGTTGGTGGATGGAGATGATTGGGAGGCCATGATGGGCCAATGGAGAGAGTTTGGCCTGGACACCAGGATTACACCCCTACTCTTTATGGCATTTTAATGACCACAGAGAGTCAGGACCTCGGTTTAACATCTCATCCGAAAGATGGCGTCTACTGACAGTATGGTGTCCCCTTCACTTTTACTGGGGCATTAGGACTCAGGTTGAGCGCCCCCTGCTGGCCTCACTAACACTACTTCCAAGAGCAACCTAGTTTTCACATCAGGTCTCCTATCCAGGTACTGACCAGGCTCAGCCCTGCTTAGCTTCAGTGAGTAACCGGTCTTGGGCTGCAGGGTGATATGGTTGTGGATATGTGCACTCCTGTCTGTAATTTATTAATTTTTTTTTTTTTTTAACAAAGGTGCAATTTTGTGAGCTGCAATTTCACCTCAATTGTAGCCAATTACTTTATTAAATCATTCTTCTCTGTTTCAGCTGACAACAAACACTAGATAATATTTTACCGAAGTCAAAATTTTGGTATTGTGACAACACTAGTTTGTAATAAATCACATAACATCTAAAAATATGTGCTGGAGATTTACTAGAACTGTCTTTTCCGACAAAATGCGCATGATAATTGCCTTTAAATAATCACCTTGCCCAAAACATCAATGTCGATGGGAACATTATATCTTTTTATCAGCCTAATCCTTTGTTGTTATTCACTTCAATTATAAATATGAGTGTTGGCAGAAACAATTATAAAAACAAAAAAAATCCACCTTTTGCAAAGTAAAATGGAAAAAAGGCATAGAAAATTAACATAAGCAAGATGAGTAAACGATGACTCGAGTGAACTCTCCCTCTAATTCCTCCAATTATCACAATTTCATGCATATTGGCATTTTTACTGAAAAAAGCCATTGAATCTAAATAATTTAAAAGCAGGTTAACCGATTTTAATTAAATAGGGCTTTAATGAGTTAATTAGATAATATGGGACTAGTTTTAAGCAAAATCATACCAGAATTTCTAGTGAGAAAATCCCACAAATTAAGATAAAATATATATTGATTTACATACTGAAATTCAAATAGGTTAATTACACACCACGCCAACTGGTTAATAAAAATGGTCACTTTTGCATGCACATCCCATTACAAGACAAGCTAAAGACAAGGACAAGCTTTTTTAATTGTTAGGATGCAATTTACTTCATTCAAATGACTCAATCAGCCCAGAGAATGGCCACTTATTAAGATGAAATAAATTATATGACTGAATAAAGTGTGCCATTGAATCAAAATCATTTAAAGGGGCGTTAACCAATTTTAATTAAGTAGGATTTTATTGAGTTAATTACATAATATGGAACTAAATTACTTCAAATGGTCAGAGTTTTAAGCAAAATCATACCAGAGTTTATACTAGGAAAAGCCCACAAACTAAGATATATACTAATTTCTACTAAAATTCAAACAGGTTAATTACACACCCCACTAATTGATTACTAAAAATAGTTACTTTTGCATGCGCATCCCATTACAAGACTAGTTTAAGACAAGGACAATCCATTGTTATTTGTTAGGATGAAATTTAGTTTATTCAAATGACTCGAATGGCCACTTAAGATAAAAACTTAAATAATTGGCTGAATAAAGTGTCCAGCATCCCATCAACAACGTCTAATGTCGGCGTTGTAAATAATCCATGTCGAATCTCTCAGTGTTTCTGCACTGCTGGAGGAAGCACAGACACTCTTGTTCTCTCGGGTTCCTGCAGCAGATTTTCCATTCGCTCTGTTTCTGAATAAAACATGAGGGATGAAGAGCTGCTCAGGTGACTGAAATCACTCGTGATCCTGATAATGAAGCTCCTGTAATCTCAAAACCATCCCAGAAGCCAGAACCAAACAAAAGCCCCTCTTTTCTTCTTCTTCTTTAAAACACGACTTGCTGATTTCAATTAAAAAGCATCCTGTGCACACTCTCATGTTCTCATTTAGCCTTTCTGTATGATTGTATCAAATTTTCTTGTTGCAATTAATTGCTGAAGTTTACACTTCAGGGTATACACTACCTGACAAAAGTCTGTCAGTTATAAGAGCAACAAATAATAACTTGACTTTTAGTTGATCATTTGGAAAAGTGTCAGAACTAGATTTTTCTGATGAATCATCTGTTGAGCTGCATCCCAATCATCACAAATACTGCACAAGACCTATTGAAACACACCTGGACCCAAAATTCTCACAGAAATCAGTCAAGTTTGGTGAAGGAAAAATCATGGTTTGGGGTTACATTGAGTGTGGGGGCGTGTGAGAGATCTGCAGAGTGGATAGCAACATCAACAGCCTGAGGAATCAATACATTTGTGCTGCCCATTACATTACAAACCACAGGAGAGGGCAAATTCTTCAGCAGGATAGCGCTCCTCCTTATACTTCCGCCTCCACATCAAAGTTCCTGAAAGCAAAGAAGGTCAAGGTGCTCCAGGATTGGCCAGCCCAGTCACCAAAATGAACATTATTGAGCATGTCTGGGGTGAAGATGAAGGAGGAGGCATTAAAGATGAATCCAAAGAATCTTGATGAACTCTGGAAGTCCTGCCATTCCAGATGACTTTATTAATAAGTGATTTGAGTCATTGCAGAGATGTATGGATGCAGTCCTCCAAGCTCATGGGATTCATACACAATATTCATTCTGTTTGCAGTCATGAAATGCAGCATGACTTTATATTCTATACAGTACATTATTTCTGTTAAGTGACAAGACTTTTGTCTCAGCAAAGTCAGAGCTTACTGTCCTAATTAAATAATGAAAAATCAAGGCATGATCATGTTTTATTTTGGTAAAATAAATGTAATCTAGAGGCCTTTGCCTTTTATATAAGCCACTTATGATATCAAATGATCAACTAGAAGTCAAGTGATTATTTGCTGTTCCTAAAACTTGGATAGGCGACAAGATTTTTGTCAGGCAGTGTACAGTATTATTTAATAATATCAATTAATATTAATATAACATCTAAGTTTAGATCAATAATATTGATTGTGGGATTCACTTATGCCCAAACGAACCAAGCTAAGTGGGCAAACACAGCAGGTTCTGAAACAAATGTCTAGGTGTGAAAGCACTCTTTAACCTGATTATAAATATTCTTGAAAAGCACTCTACAAGTTTAAATAATGCTTAATTATTCACTGCATTCTGAAGCACCCACAGTATCAATATTGTGCATGTTCATTATCACGATATATTGAATTATTGAATTATTATATCTACTCCAGTTTAGAGACAACTTTCTGTGCTGGTGTTCAGATAATAGCTCAAAGTTTCTTAAGAATCAGCTTCTCTTTTTCCTGTAACTCTGCCTCCATCGTGGCAAATATCAGAAACAGTGTGAAACCCAAGACGTGTCGCCCCTCACTCAAACACACTCAAGTAACATGTTTTACACACTAAGAGCTGTTCATTAAGGCCTGTAGTCAAGGTCAGACAACCTGATTATCAGCCAATAAACAAGGTAAAACTAATTGTGCTGTGAAACAGAATCTGATTTAGGCTTGTTTGCCTTCACTCAAGGGGGGTAAAGTTTCAATCCACAGCCTATATTATCCACAGTAAAATACGCACACGACACAACATGATTAGATGATGAGATTTTTGTCTGCTTTGTGGTGTAACATGATCCACATATACAACAAAAATACACATTTTCTGGAGATATAAATTTCATACTTAAATACATATAAACTTTTGTAAATACTAACTGCTTTTTAAATATTACGAAAAAACCAATGACCTAATAAAACATTAGTACAAAACAATAAAAGTAATTCTGATGACTTTTCAGTATGTAAATAAACTAAACATATAAGCTACTGTGAAGTAATTAAATTATTGACAAAAATAGCATATAAACAAAATAATGGTATTTATAAAACCAATATAAATGTAAAAAAAAATACTAAATACATTACTACCTCTAAATACATTATAATCAACACATATTTGTTTTTTTTTTAAATAAGCTAAAATCAACAATAAATATTTTAATTAGAGCTGGGTGATATGGCAAAAATGCAATCTCTATAATTATTTTCTATATTGAACAATATATATTTTGATATAAGTTGTTAATGCTTCCACTATTGAAAGAGTATCCCAACCATGACTGAAGGTGAAAACTGCTGTCAGGAAAAAGAACTGCTGGCGAGAAACTGAA